ACAGGGCCAGCGCACCCGGGTGGGACAGCGTTCGGGTTTCAGCCGGCCTTCAACTTTGGCCTCGTTTCCTATTCATCCTTAATTCGCCGCGGCCGAGCCCTCGGAGAGTTGAGGCGACGAGAGAGGCGACGAGAGGAGGGGCTCCCACGCCTCCTCCGGGCCGCTGCCATGCCCCTCCGCCGCCGCCTCCCCGCCATCGCCGCGCTCGCCCGGCGGCTCGACGAAGAGCGTGCTGGCACCCGCGCCGTCGCCCTGCGAGAGGCCCGCCGACGGCCCCTGCAGCAGGCCGGGCTTCTCGCACGGGAGCGCCAAATCGGCCAGGTCAACGGGCGTAGGCGCCCTCGCCAGGTCGACGCAGGGGGCGATGGTCTGCGAGAGGCCCGCCGAATGCCCCTGCGGGCCGGGCTTCTCGCACGGGAGCGCCAGGTCTGCCAGGTCGATTGCTGCCGCGCCGCCGCCGTTCGCCTGTGGGCGGACAAGTGCGGCGGCTGAGGACAGAGGCTGCGGGGAGCGTCCGGGGCAAAGGGGCGGTGCAGGGCCGATCGACCACCAGGCTGGAGCTGGGAGGTGTGTGTGGAGGGGGGCTCGTCGCGTCTGGGACGACTGCGTGCGGGGCGGTGGCGGAGGCGGCGGAGAGGAGAGGAGGGGAAGGGGGGAGAGGGCGTGGGGCAGCGAGCGAGGCGCGGGAGGGTGGGGGCTGCACCCCGTGCACCAGGCCGCCGTGCAGGTCGTTGACCAGGCCGGAGAGGGAGTCGTGCCAAGGCCAGCCGCAGCTCTCCTCCCCGGCCGCCAACGCCTGCAGCGGCATGTCCAGCGGCGCCAGCGCCTGGCGGAAGGCGCCCTCCTCCCACGCTAACCCGTCGGCCACCGCCGCCCCGGCCACCGCCGCCCCGAAGTCCGCCTCGCAGTCCTCATCTGCGAGCGCCTCGGCCAGCGGCGGCGGCGGCAGCGGCGAGGAGGGCGGCGACACGGACGGCTCGGCGGCCGACGGCGGCGATCCCTTGCCTCCCGCCTTGCCTCCCGCCTTGGCGGCGCCCTTGCTCCTCCGCCTGCCGCCCTCCTTGCCGCCCTCCTTGCCGCCCTCCTCCCCTCCGCTCGACCAGTCCTTGAAGGCCGCGAGCATCGCAAAGTTGCTCCCCTCTGGCGAGCGCGCATAGCAGAGCGCCGCCTCCTCGGCGGTGGCAAAGCGGCCGAGCGTGACGCGGCGGCCGTTGCGGCGCACCTGCGGCGGCGCGGGGAGGGCGGCGGCCGGTGAGGCCACGGCCTCCTACGGCCCTGCGAGCCCGGCGGCGGCGCCTCCAGATATGAGGGTGGCTGTGGCTATGAGGGTGGCGGGGGGGAGGACCGAGGTGGCGGCGAGGTGGCGGCGGGCCGGCCAGAGTTGGGGGGTAGCTGGCTGGCGGAGGCGGAGGCGGGGGACGGCAGCGGCGGAGAGGGCGAGCCGCGGGCCGGGCGAAGGGCGGCAGCGGGCCGGCGGGCCGAGGGAGGGAGAGGCACCTGGGCACGAAACGGGTTCTTGAGGCCGACGGTGGTCGACGAGTCTTGCAGCACCTGCAGAGGCGGCGAGGGAGGGCGGAGGCGAGTGAGTGCGGCCGTCCGTGCGCGCCCGCGCGCCACCCTCGTCTCTCGTTGGCACGCGCGGCGAGCACACAGAGGGGGAGGGCTCACCCCTCGGTAGCCGCTCGTGCTCGACGTGCTCCTCAGCAGCGTCAGGCCCTCCTCGGCAGCCCCACGCAGGGCCGCCGCCGCGAGGTTGTCGAGCTCGACCGTTGAGTAGGCCGACTTGGCGGCGCTTCGCGGCATCGTTAGAGACCACAGCGGCTGCCAAACCTAGCAAAGCGACTTGCCGATCGAGATCCGAGTCGTGTCGGTCGCGTGACGCGACAGCGCATGATCTCGGATCATCTCGTTTTCGCGGTTCTGGTGCTGGGGGGGTCGGGACCCCCCCCCCCAGCAGCAGCGCTCTGCTGCTGGGGGGGGTGCTGGCATCTCTGTACCGACAGCTGTAAGTAAGTACGGTTAGCGTTCCAGTCGTCGGCGAGGTGCTGGATATTAAATGGCTTGAGGGCGAGCCGCAATGGCTTCCACCACGTCGCTGCCCGCCATTGCGGCGACGCGTCGCGGCGGACCTGACAGTTTTGCCGCGCGACGGGCCGCGCGCGCGTTTCGAAAAAAGAGAAGTCTTTAAGCTCAGTCAATCGATTTCGACGAGCGAGCGATCCGAGGATCGAGCGGGGGACCGATAGGCTAGAGAGATCAACGCTGGAAGCGCCTCGCCGAGGCGCACAATAGTCCCCGTCAGCGCCACGCGCGAGAGCATGTGTCCAATGTGCAACGCGGCGGCGCGATCAGTCACGGGACGACCGACGGAAGCCGGATAAGCCACAAAACTCGCTTGCAGAGCAGGTTTTCACCGATTTGCTGTGGGCGTTGGCTGAAAATAGTGCTCAAACCGACCAAGTTAAGCGAAAATTGGTCCAACGAAAACGGCACTAGTTAAGGGCAAAAACCGATTTGCTGTGGGGGGCGTAAGAGCACCTAAAGGAGCAAGGCATAGCTGTGAAGTGGTTTCCACTGACACCCAGCTCTGCACACGAACCTGGGTTCACTATCTCAGGGGAGGCATGAGGTTCGCTAGGTTGTTCTTCGTCGCCGGCAGCTCCGCGCTGGAGCTCGGCGGCGTGCTGCGCGCTCCGGCACGCGGCGTGGCTCGCTCCGCCGCGCCCCTCATGGAGGCGCCCAAGACCGTCTTCATGTTCCCGGGGCAGGGTGCGCAGGCGGTCGGCATGGGAGTCGAGGCGGCCGAGTCGGTGCCTGCGGCCAAGGAGCTGTACGATAAGGCGTCCGCGATCCTGGGGTACGACCTGCTCGATCGCTGCAAAGTGGGTCCGAAGGAGACGCTCGACACCACCGTCGCCTCCCAGCCGGCCATCTTTGTGGCGTCGATGGCGGCGGTCGAGAAGCTGCGCGCCGACGAGGGCGACGCGGCGGTCGACGCGGCGGATGTGGCGTGCGGGCTGTCGCTGGGCGAGTACACTGCCCTTGCCTTCGCCGGCGCCATCTCGTTCGAGGACGGCGTCCGCATCACCAAGGCGCGCGGCGAGGCGATGCAGGCGGCGAGCGAGGCTTCGGCATCCGGCATGGTGTCGGTGATCGGGCTCGACACGGAGCAGGTCGACGCGCTGTGCAAGGCGGCGTCCGAGGAGACGGGCGAGCAGATTCAGATTGCAAACTACCTCTGCCCCGGCAACTACGCGTGCTCGGGCGCCATGACCGCCGTGGACGCCGTCGTCGCCAAGGCGAAGCCGGACTTCAAGGTACAGCCGGAGGGCCGGTGGGCGGGGCAGAGGAGAGGTCGCTGACGCGGCGGTGGCTCGACCCGTAGGCGCGGATGGCGGTCAAGCTGGCCGTGGCGGGCGCCTTCCACACCGACTTCATGGCCCCGGCGGTGCGGCGTGCTGCCCTGCCCTGCCCTGCCCTGCCCTGCCCTGCCCTGCCCTGCCCTGCCCTGCCCTGCCCTGCCCTGCCCTGCCCTGCCCTGCCCTGCCCTGCCCTGCCCTGCCCTGCCGTCGCCCTCGCCGCAGCCGCTCACGCCAGCCTCGGGGGGGAGAGGGAGAGGAGGGCAGCTGGAGAGCTGCGCTGAGCTGAGGAGGAGGAGGGTGAAGCCAGACAGCGCCGAGAGTCGGGTCCGGCCGTAGTCTGGCTGTGCGCCGCTGTGTGCGTGTTGTGAGCCGCGTCTCTTCACAGCCTCCGGCTGCGAGCAGGTGCCGAAGCTCGACGAGGTGCTGGCAGGGATCGAGGTGTCGCCGCCCCGCATCCCCGTCATCTCCAACGTGGACGCCAAGCCGCACTCGGACCCCGCCGAGATCAAGGAGATCCTCAAGAAGCAGGTGACGGCGCCGGTGCAGTGGGAGGTGCGCGTCCCGTCTCAGCGCGCCCGCAGCTGCCCCCTCACCACTCATGGCCTGCGAATCGACTTGGTAGACCATCATGACCGACCTCGTGGAGGCCGGCTCGGTCGAGTCCTTCTACGAGCTCGGGCCCGGCAAGGCGCATCGAACGGCCCCACGAGGGGCGGCTAGAATGGGGCGTGTCCAGGACGCGTTCACCGCCTGCCCCGCAGGTGCTCGCCGGCATCATGAAGCGCATCCACAAGAAGGCCACCGTCGTCAACGTGGAGGTTTGAGGAGCGGGCTTTCACTATTTCAGCCGCCTGCCGTGCTGCCAGCGCGGGGCCGCGGGTGCCCGTGCGCGTGGGAAGCAACCCCAGTCGTGTACACGCCGCACTCAAAGCACACGGCAACCCACACCCACACCCACACGATTTCGTCGTTGGTGGTCGGTGTGGCGGGCGTTGGTTACCTTTTCTACTCCATGGCGCATAATCATAATAGTAACAAGTGATGGTCCGCGTGCGCGTCCGGGACCGCCACGGCTTCACAGCAGACGTTAGTCGTTACACGCTCTCCTCTGCCACCGCGACCGCGACCGGCAAGGAGGCGGCGCTTCCCGAGCCGACTCGCTGCGCCAGCACGGGCGGCGTCGGCGTCGGATCCACGGGCAGCCCCATCGGGACCTCCTCGACTGCGCACCGGGCGGCCACGGCGGCCACAACGGGGACCGGCAGCGTGACTGCGCCAGGAGGCGGTCTCGGGCTGCCGCGGCGCCCCGTTCTTCCGAGCTGTGCGGGGGTGAGGGGGTGGTTGAGGTCGGCGTGGCGCCGCTCGGGGAGGCAGCAGGCGCAGCAGCAGCGGCAGTAGAGGTAGCACCAGCACAGCGCCACCACTTCCGCTGCCCACTGCACCGCCAGCGCTCCAGCAGCCGTCCCGAGGGCCTCGCCCGCACTCGGAAGTTCCCCGTCATCATCGTCGTCGTCGCCGCCGCCTTCGACGCCACTGGAGAGGGCGGCGATGGCCCAGATGAACCAGCCGAGGAGCATCAGCTCCTCGGCACGCAACCCCACAAGCCGTGCCGACGGTAGCCTCCCCTCGAGCGCCGCTGAGGCTGTGCCAATGGTCGCCTTTGTGAGCGCGACGACCGGCGCCACGAAGCACACGGTGAGAAGGAGGGCGCTTCCACTGGACCGAAGGCCTAGCGAGACGTAGACAGAGAGGAGCAGCGTCGCGCACACCGACAGCGAGAGGACAAACAGCCGGTGGCGGACGCTGAGGCCGTCCGAGCATACGCAGCAGCACCCAACCCCGACGGGTGGCGGCGCCTCCCTGGCGAAGCAGAGCCCGAGGACCGAGTGGTCGTGGAGCACGAACTGGGGGAGAGACACCTTTCGATCATCATCCATCGTGACCGCAGATGTCACTGCCTACGAGTAGCTGCCAGGTGAGGCTACACATGATACCAGGCCAGTGGAGAAAAGAATTTTGACAGCCGAAGCGACAGGCGAGGCGCGGGCGACGGCTTCCAGAAGCCGTCGCCCGCACCACAGGAGCAGTCACACCACCACTCCCACTCCGAGAAAAGAACTTCCGGCAGTTGTCAGGCAAGAACCTCCGTCGCATCTCTCCTGGAGATGACTCCTCTATTTATTTATTAATCCGGGACGCCTTTCTCACAGCATGAACACACGCTGATCGTTACATAGCTTCGGCTATCAGGTCCACGTTTAGACCAGTTTAGACCACTGCTAAATACACAAAAACGCAGTGCAGGTCGCAGACGCACCTCATGCAGGATTTCAACGACCCACTGAACATCGACAGGGTACGCGACAGGGGCAACAGTACTACACTCACGTATGCAGTCCTCGAGGCCGGGCTCTCGTCACAGCCTTATTTCCACCCTCCGTCCGCCTGCGGGCGCTGGAGCAGCAGCCGCCACCGGCGTAGCTACGACCGTGCCGCTCACGACTGTGCCCTCCACCACCTGCGCGGCGGCGCACTCGGCCTGCACCTGCGACGCCCGCCAGACGCGCGGCTCGCCGCGGTAGCCACCCTGGCTGTACCGGCTCGCCCGGCCGGGCGCGCCCTGACTATACCGGCTCGCCCCGCCATGCACGCCGGGCGCGCCCCCGCACCACCGCTCCGTTCTGCTCGCCCGGCTGGCTCGGCTGCCGTGCGGCGGCTCTGCGACCGGCTGCTCCTCGGGGCGGCAGTGCATGAGCGACTCGGTAGCGACGAGCAGCTGTGGCGTGGGGGTAGGGGAGGGGCGAGCGGTGAGGAAGGGGGGCGAGGTGGGAGGGGTGGCGTGGCGTGGGGGGAGGAGTACGCGAGGGAGGGGGCGGGAGGTCCGAGGGAGCGGCGCGAAGTAGGCGGGTAGGAGGCGTGTGTGAGCGGGCACGGCGGGAATGGGAGGCGGAGGGCGCACCAGCCAGCCCACCGCAAAGGCGGTGAGCGCGAGCGAGTACTCGACGAACCACGTCCCACGTGGCACAGGGGACACGTAGTCGAACTGGTACATGCACTTGAGCAGGATCTTGATGAGGCCGTCGGCGGTGGAGGACGCGACCGAGGCGGCCATCATCCACACGCGCGGCATGCCCATCCAGCCGCGCTTGTTGACGTTGATCCAGCTCGCGGTGCCATCCCACTTGCGCAGGTGCTTTGGGTTCCACGGCAGGTACTTGAGCATGCAGCGCGGGTTGGCGAGCACGACGCCGACGAAGAGCAGCGCGGCCCACTCCTTGCGGTGCCGGTCGAAGGGCAGCTGCTTGAAGTACTTGCCCGCCTTGGCGAAGACGCGGATGGCGATGCAGAGGTTGATGAGGCGGAAGACGACCCAGTGCGCGATGACGCACCTGCAAAAGGCTGCGTGCTCCACTGCCCACGGGTGCCTGTCAGCCCACGGATACAGCACGTAGAACACCGCCCAGAAGACGTGCGCCCACAGCTCAAACGAGGCGATGAAAAAGTCGAAGAGGTAGACGCCGCCCGTACGGAGGTGGTGAGCCCACCAGCTGCAGCCCGAGAGGCTCTGGAGGCGGAGGGGGAGGGGGTGAGAGCGGGCGGTGGCGGCGCGCGGGGCAGTGCAAGGCGCGGGCGAAGGCGGTGCGCGCCGCTGTCACGTCGGGCATCGACTGCGAGTCGGTCGGCTTGATGAGGTAGATGCGCCCGCCGAGCGCCGCGAACGCGATCGAGAATAAGAAGCTCAGCTCAAACTCGTAGCCGATGCCGAGGTGGAGCAAGCCGTGCGAGTTGAAGGGCGAGGGCGGCGGCGGGAGAGGCGGCGGCAGCGGCGATGGCGGCAGCGGCGGCGGCGGCGGCGGCGGCGGTGACGGCGGTGACGGCGGTGGTGGATATGGCGCTAGTTCCGGCGGGTAAGGCGGCCGCGAGGGCGGTGGCGGAGGAGGACACGTGGCTATTTCTGAGCCGTAAGGATCATAGCAGTTCGCATCCTCACAGTCCACGTCTACGTCTGTTCTCCGAATGTTCCCGCTGGCGACGGCTGTTGGGCAGGCCTCCTCAGAGGAAGCGTAGAACAGGAGCGTAGAAGGAACCACGTAAGCTCGAAGCTGCCACTGACCGCCGATGTAGGCGAGGTAGTGCTGATTTGTGTCACTCTGCACATAGACCAGCCGGCCGCCATCAGGCAGCTGAGCGCCGTCAGCAAGATCAAAAACCTCGCCCCCGAGCGTATACTGGTTTCCCGGAGGGTAAATGCCCGTCGCTCCAGCAGTGACGAGGGCTTCCGCGCCGCCGCCGACGGCCACGTCGGCGCACGGGCAGGAGGAGGAGGCGCCAGCAGTCATGCGAGCGCCGAGGCGGCTCACGCAACCTTCCCTTTTTTTTGTTCTTCAGCTGGGTTCCATAGAAAGAATTCAGATTGCGAAGCGGCAGCAACGCGTTATTCGGATCGCACATTGGACGGCGGAGTACAGGCTGTGTGGTCGGCGACTCGTAGCCGGGGTCGTCCTCCCGAGATGGGCATGGCCATGGGGATGAAAGACTAAATAAATAAAGAAAACGGTCAAACTCTGAGACGAGATGGGATTTAGGGACGTGTGTCCCCGCCCTGCACGATCTTGGTGTGAGGGATCTTCAATCCGTGTCCCCTCACCCCTCGTCACAACCCGACACGGAAGAGCGGCAAGAGTTGGGGCTGCGGCTACGGCTGCGGCTACGAGAGGGGCCGGGGTCGCGGGAGAGCCGCTGCGCCGCGTGGACGCGCCTACACCGCTCTTGCTCCGCTCGCCACCTCTCGCAAAGGTCCAAAGTCATAGCCATCACCTCCTCCGGCAAGTCCTTTTCGCCTATCTTGCCGTCCCTCCAATCCTGGAAGAGCTCGTCGTCATAGCCGTATTGCATCACAGCCTGCTGCATGAAAGACTAGCGCACTATCCGTCTTCCACATGGGGCCGACAGGCAAGGACCAAGGTAAGGATGGTAAGGATTTTTTGGCCTCCCCCCCCTGCAAACGGAGGGAGCTGCAAACACAAAACAACAACAACTCCTAAGTAGAGCTCAAGTGCTCAACCTCCCCCGCCGTCCCATTGTGCAATTCATCAGCCTCTCCACCAGGTCGTCCTTCTCGAGGCAGCCGGCGTGGTCGGCCCCACACGCGGCCAGCCTCGCCTTGAGCTCCTTCGCCGTGAGGGCGCGCAGCCGCCCTCTCGCATCCTCCACTTCCCCGCCCGCCGCAGACGCGCCGACCCCCGCAGACGGGCCGCCTAGCTGCGCCGGCGCACCACCGCCTCCGCCGGAAGCGCGGCGGCGCGGCGCGGCGCACAAGTCTCTCAGCCGCTGCGCGATGTCCCAGACGACCTGCAAGTGGTCGTTCGGCTGCTGGAAAGCTCCCACCGGTGCCTAGACGAGAGGGTGAGGAAGGCTCTCCGTGAGATGTTGTTCAGCCTCTGGCTGCTGAAATGATTCCCCCATCGGGGGCCTTCACAAAGCCAAAACCCTCGTACAGCCGTGAGGCTGCAGCGTTCTGCTCACCGCCCGCTATCTGGGCGCAGGAGGGCGGGAAAGGGCCCGGCGGTGGGATTGCGGGGGTGGCAGAGAGGGAGGGAGTGAAGGAGGGAGAGCCGCGCCTGCAGCACCGCCGACGTCTTGCCCTCGAGCGCGGCCGCGTGGGCGAGCGCGTCTGCAGGGCGAGACGCGTCCGCGCGCGAGGCGTGAGCAGCGGACCGCACAAAGGTGGACACGTTCCATCGCGGTGGAGATGAGGAGAGAGAGGTAGAGCTAAAGACTGCAGCCTCGTGGGTGTGTGGTCCGGAGCAGGGCTCTGCCGCATGAATACATCGTACCCACGGGCCCCGAGGGTAGAGAGGGAATCTTAGGTCGGCATCTAGAAGCCTGCAGGCGAGGAGGAGCCGCGCGAGGCCGTCGCCTGTTGGTGGTTGCGAGCAAGTTACGAGCAGGTTCCAGGGAGGGTCCCGGCGAGGGAGGAGCCGCGAGTGAGCTACCTCGGACCGACCGATCGGTGCCGAGCAATTCGATCTTCGTCCACGAACCCGCCGTCACGACGGGAGCAGGCGGGGCAGCAGCGCCGAGATGCGGCGGAGCCGCCGCCGCGGCGAGGGCGTTTGGACCGGGAGTGGCCAGCGCGCTGGTTGGCGGCACGTTCGCGTGGCCGAGTCGCGCCGGCTGGGCGGCGGCGACAGGAGACTGCAGCGGCGGGGGCGGCGCGATGCAGCCTTTCGCATCGACGAGGGCGGGGTGGAGCCACGCGCGCATCTCCTCACTGGGCACATCGCGCCAAAAGATCAGGCCGAGGAGCTCGTCGAAGGGCCCCGTAGCGGTAAGCAGTCTTAGTCGTCCGTCGTAGTCGTCGTCCACAAACGCCTCGAGTAGCATGCGCTCCAGCTCGTCCACGCCCTCGAGCGGCATGGGCACCAGTGACTTCGCGCTCTCGCGTGTCTCGAGTGTGAGGGTAAGGCGGCGGTCGCTCAGCGTGACCACCTCGCGCCGGCCGCTCGCAATGATCTCGGCCGCGGCAGGGCCCGTGACGAGGGGGCCGAGGTAGGAGGCTGAGCGCGTGAGGCGGATGGGCGGATGCGTTGAGGCCATTGAATATCGAGCGTCGCGCGTCCCTTTGCGAACCGACGCTGCACGATCATGGCGTGAGGGACCTCAATCCGTCCCCTCACCCCTGGTCACTACCCGAGGGACCTCAATCCGTCCCCTCACCCCTGGTCACTACCCGACACTAGAAGAGCAGCAAGAGTTGGGGCTGCGGCTGCGGCTGCGGCTGCGGGAGGGGCTATGGTCGCGGGAGAGCCCGCGCTGCGCCGCGTGGACGCGCCTACACCGCTCTTGCTCCGCTCGCAAAGGTCCAAAGTCATAGCCATCACCTCCTCTAGGACTAGCTCCTAGGTGCAAAGAATTTTTCTCCACGCCTCTTTGTATGGAAGAATTTTGATATGGGTCAAAACGCCTGCTGGGGGCAGCTTCGTGAAACGTGAATTTGCGCGCCCATTACTGCACTCCAAGTGCTCCAAATGCGAAACTCAGCTCCTTCGAGGTGCAAGCACCTCAAAGGTGTATGGGCACGCGATTGCAGCTCGCCCCTCCCCTCTCATCGCGCTGACCGCTAGCAGGCAGGGGCCCGCGTCCGTTGGCGCCGAGTGCGGCACGAGGCACGACAGCAGCATTGGCGCAATCAGCGTCGCAGGCGAGGAGAGGTGCCCGAAAGTGACCTCAAAAGCACTGCATGCGCCGGCGCCTCCCTTGGCGCCCGGCGCGCCGCCGAGCAGTAGCCACACCTCGCTGCCCGGCGCGGCGGCTTTCGCCGAGAGGCGCTCCACGGCGAGCCGCGTCCCCTTCGGCTCCGCCTTGAGGCGCTTCCGTGCCGCCGGCTTCTTGCCGCTGGCCGTGGCCGGCGACGGGGAGAGGGCGTCGCTATCGCCGCTCGCACCCACCGTGCCCTGCTCGCGAACGTGCCGCCGCCTCAGCCACTGGCCGAGCTTGCTCTGGCGGTACCGGACCCAGAGCCGGAGCCCGTCGTCGGCCCCCTCGCGTGGCCCTCGCCGCGCCTCGAGCAGCGTCGCCGCGTGCCACACCAGCGGCCGCCCGGACGCGTACGGGTCGACCGCCTCGAGACTCTGCCCCACCGTGAGCCACCCGGGCAGCGCGCCCGCCGCCGGCATCGGCGACACGCGAGAGATCGGCAGCGTGCACTCGGAGAGGTCGCAGTCGAACTGCACCACCGCCGACCGCCCGTCCACCGAGCGCACGACGGCGGAGTAGGGCTTGCCGGCGCCGCGGCCCCACCTCGCCACCACCGCATCGTTGGGCTCGAGCTCGCCGCTGCCGCCGCTGCCCTCCTCGCTGCCCTCGCCGCCGCTCTCCTCGCCCTCGCCCGCACTGCCCGCCTCCGCAGCCTCGACCATCTTCTCGTCGCCGCCCTCACCGTCCTCGCCGTCCTCGCCGCCCTCGCCGCCCTCGCCGCCCGCCTCCTCTTCCCTCTCCTCCCTGCCGCTGCTGCCTGCCTCTCCTCCCTCGGCCTCGCTGCCAGCGCCCTCAGCCAACTGGACACGGCCGGCCGCGCCTGCCTCCCGACGGCGCTTTGAGCCAAGCACGGCACGCGCACTGTCGGCGGCATTCCCACCCCCCCGCGACCCCTTCGCGCACGCCGTCTTCGCGCGCGGCGCCGCCGCCTCCTCGGGCGCCGCGTCCGTCGCCCCAGGCTCCCGGACGTGCCGCCGCCTCAGCCACTGGCCGAGCTTGCTCTGGCGGTACCGGACCCAGAGCCGGAGCCCGTCGTCGGCCCCCTCGCGTGGCCCTCGCCGCGCCTCGAGCAGCGTCGCCGCGTGCCACACCAGCGGCCGCCCGGACGCGTACGGGTCGACCGCCTCGAGACTCTGCCCCACCGTGAGCCACCCGGGCAGCGCGCCCGCCGCCGGCATCGGCGACACGCGAGAGATCGGCAGCGTGCACTCGGAGAGGTCGCAGTCGAACTGCACCACCGCCGACCGCCCGTCCACCGAGCGCACGACGGCGGAGTAGGGCTTGCCGGCGCCGCGGCCCCACCTCGCCACCACCGCATCGTTGGGCTCGAGCTCGCCGCTGCCGCCGCTGCCCTCCTCGCTGCCCTCGCCGCCGCTCTCCTCGCCCTCGCCCGCACTGCCCGCCTCCGCAGCCTCCTCCGCCTCTGACTCCTCCGCCGCCTGCTCTCCGTTCCCCCCAGCCTCCTCCTCGGCCGCCGCCTCCTCCTCGCCGCCACCCTCGCCCATTTCCTCGCCGCCCTCGCGCTCCTCCTCCTCCTCCGTCTCGTCGCCGTCCTCGCCGTCCTCTTCCGGCAGAAAAATGACCTCATCGTCCGCTTCCATGAGAGCGGGGCGGATGGATGTGGAAGGTGCATCCGAAGCGGCAGCGGGCCCCGCCGCCGCGGCGGCGGCGGCGTGGTGCTGCTTGGCCTCGAGCGCCTTCATCTCGGCCTCGTACCGCTGCTTGTCCGCCTTGGCCCTCGCGTCCCACGGCGCCTTTGCCTCGGCGTCCATCTCCTTCCACTTTGCGCCGGCGATGCGGCCGATGTCGGTCACCTTGGCGTCCGGGTGCTCCTCCTTGAGGCGCGGCCGGTTGGCATTCATCCAGAGCATGTACGCCGACATGCCTCGCTTGGGCGCGTCCTTGTCCTTCTTCTTCTTCTGCGGCCTCTTCTCGGGCGACGCCTTGGCCTTCTTCTTGGAGATGCCTCCCCGATCCCCACCGCCGCCGCAGCCGGTGCCGCCGCCGGTGCCGCCGCCGCCGCCGGTGCCGCCGCCGCCGCCGGTGCCGCCGCCGGTACGACCATCGTACTCACCCTCCATGTCTCGATCGGGTGCTGAGTGGGCGGGCGCCTCAGGCACGCCGTCCTCCTCCCGCTCCTGACCGTGTCCACCGTCCTCAGGGCCCGGCTCCTCCTCTCGCTGATCTGGTGTCTCCACCGCAGCCTCGCCGTCCACCTCCTCATCGCCGAGCGCCGCCGCCTGCGCCGGTGCCCTCTCTGCCGTGGGTGCCCTGAGCTCCGCAGCCGCCGCATCCTCCTCCCCTTCCGCTGGAGGCTCCGACAGCTGGTCGAACCGGGCCCATAGCTCTCCAGAGCCGTCTGGCGTCGCAGCGAGATGGTACCTCACACCCTTGGGACCGGCTGTCAATCCCTGCCGCGCGTCCACCACGTGCATACGCACCTGCCCCTCGTGCAGCCCGCGAACGAGAACCGTGCAGCCGGAGGCCAGCCACGATGGCGTGCTCTTGCGCGGCAGCGGGAGCGGCGTGACGCAGTCGCGAGATAGCCACACCGCGCAACCGGTCAGCGCGTGGCGGAGGTTGGGTCCGTCGAAGATGACTCGCACGCCGCGCTCCGACACCTCGCTCACCACGGCCTCGAGCCGCTCCTGGCCCCACTGCGCCTCCACCAGGGCGCCTGCCGCGAGCTGAGTCTCGTCTTCCTGCGTGGCGGCTTCCACTCGTCGCTGCGCCACGCGCTGCGCCTCGGCGCGCACGGCACGCGCGGCCAGCAGGCGGGCCTCTTCAGCGGTGAACGACATATATATGCACACACACACACACCCGACACCCGGTTCGGGGCACAAAATCCGGATTTTTCCACGGCCTAACAATCTCTAACAATCACATCATTGGTGGTCAGGAGACCCTCTCGCAGGCTGCCCACAAGTACAGTCCTATCTACTAGGCTCCTAGCACCACTAAGACGCCGCCGCCCTCCACCTCGCCCACGCCGCCGCCGTCGCTCACGCCGCCGCCGCTCGCTCGCTCGCCCGCTCGCGCCTGGCTTTCTACTTCCTCGTGATCGCCCGAATCTCTCCTTCCTCGTGATCCACCCTCGCCTCACCCTCCCGCCGCCTCGCTGCTCGCTCGCCGCTTGCTCTCCCGCCCGACTTTCTACTTCCTCGTGATCCGAACCGCCACCACCCTCGCCTCGCGCCTGCGAGCTGAGCCACCGCCGCGTTGGGCGTGACCTCGCCGTTGTAGAGGCGGAGGCTCATTACCTTCATTCCCTCCCTGAACGCGCCGCGTGTGCCATGCTGGCCATAAGGCCGGCCATCGCCTGGCCGCTGCTGGGCGCGCTTAATGACTTCGGCGATGGGCGTGCGCGGTGCTGCGGCGGGCTCGGCGGGCTGCGGCAGCGTCGGCGGGCTCACCAGAGGCGGATCCTCCTTGCACTGAGAGACGAGCTGCGCCCAGGCGCCGCTCTCGCGCATGCGAGAGAGAGCGCGTGACACGTTCATTTCGCCGGTCCCGGCGTCGCGCGCAGCGCGTGCGGCGACGAGCTTGTCCCCTCGAGCCTCGGCCTCGGCGAGCAGCTGCAGAGCGCGGTCCACCTTGGCCGCAGTGTCCAAATCCTTCCCTGTTGGCTCCGCGTAGCTCGTCGGAGCCGAAACCCTAGAGGGGTTGTGGGGAGGTCAGCAGGCGCGACGGGCGAGTCTCGCCGCGGTAGTGCGCGCCGACGGGCCCGCGCGCTGCTCTCGGCCACGTCGCCAGAGGCGCCAGTTGATCCTCCTGTGCAGGAGGCATCGATTGTTAGGACTTGAGCGGCAAATCGCGCGCGTCAGCCGAAGTGGCGGAGCTCACCAGCCTGCGTCAACATCGCCGATGGTGGCGAGCTTCTCGCCGTGGTCGGGGCGATGCAGAAGCTCGCTCGCAGCGTGTCGGGCCGAGCCGTGCGATCAAGCACAGAGCGAGTGGGCGCCGATTGTTAGGAATCGGCGCTGCTGGGAAGAATCCGATCGCCAGGAAAAATCAAGTTTTTGTGAGATACATGGGAATTCCGAATCTCCCTCTAACATCACAATAGTGAATTCCAACGCACACACGTTGGGAGGCCCGCAGTCTGTGCGCGCGCGTGTACTTTTTCTTTTACGCACCCTGTGGTAATAAGTCTCCACGAGGATGCCCTGATACCCTCTGTGCGGCACTCTGCGTCGGGCATCATCTACGAGGTGGAGGGAGGCCTAGCCCTAGGGCGCAGTGTGCGGGGGGCCCACCCACTTTGGCTTTGCGAAAACCCAAACCCAACCTTTTTTTCTTTTTCCAAGTGCTCCAAGTGTAGGCACGTCCTGGCTCCTGCACCAAGGCGTCCCACACCAAGGGACCATGCAGAAACCTCTTTCGTCCCGGACTCGCCTCTCGCCACTCTCGGATACGTTCTCTCTCAGGTGGCGAACAGGCACGCGCGGCAACACAGGACCTTGCACCCTTTCGCCCTTCTCATCACTGCCCTGGCGCCCACTGCTCGACCTTTTTGGGCAGCATCTGATTCGACAGGTCCTCTCCGTGGCCTAGGCAGCCGGTCTCGCCCTTGCCCCAGGTAAACACGGCGCCGGCGGTGACGGCGAGGCTGTGCATGGCCTCAGCCGGGACAGCAACAATGCGCTGCCCAGCGAAGGCCTCGACCTTCTTGGGCAGCGGCTGGTTCTGCTCGTCGCCGTGGCCCAACCGGCCATAGGCTCCATAGCCCCAGCTCCAGACAGCGCCGTCGGCGGTGAGGGCGAGGCTGTGCGCGGCTCCAGCCGACACAGCGACGACGCGCTGGCCAGCAAAGCCCTCGATCTTCTTCGGCAGCTGCTGCTGCTGCTGGTCGCCGTGGCCCAACATGCCACAAGCTCCCCAGCCCCAGCTCCAGACGGCGCCGTCGGCGGTGAGGGCAAGGCTGTGACTGCCTCCCACCGACACAGCGACGACGCACTGGCCAGCCAACGCCTCGATCTTCTTGGGCAGCAGCTGGTATTGCTCGTCGCCGTGGCCCAACTTGCCAAACTCTCCATTGCCCCAGCTCCAGACGGCGCCGTCGGCAGCAAGGGCGATGTTGTGGCCGCCTCCCGCCGACACAGCGACGACGCGCTGGCCAGCCAAGATCTCGACCTTCTTGGGCAGCAGCTGGTCCTGCTGGTCACCGTGGCCCAGCCTGCCGCGGCTTCCACTGCCCCAGCTCCAGACGCTGCCGCTGGCGGTGAAGGCGAGGCTGTGCGCCCATCCCACCGTCACACTCACGGCGCGCACCCAGCGTCGACGGGATGCGGGTCGGCGTGTTTAGCCGCGTCACGCCCTCGCCGTGGCCCAGCAGCCCTGGGGCGTAGGACGGCGCCGAGCCGCACGACGAGAGTCGCCCCTCGCCGTCGATGAAGACGCTGTGGTAGCGGTCTGCCGCCGCCCTTGCCGGCGGGTTGGCCTCGCAAAGCAGCGCCGAATAGCACAGCCACCGCACGGCGCAGCCCTCGCCCTCTGGCTGCGCCGGCAGCTCGAAGCCGCGCTCTCGCGCCCACAAGCGGATGCCCTCCTCCGCAAGCGAGGCGTGAAAGAGGAGCGAGACGGCCGCGACGCGAGCGATGTCGAGGGGGCTGTCGCAGCGAGAGATGGCGCGCTCGAGGAGCTCCCTGGGGAGGTCGAGAAGGCGGGCGGGCGGCGGCGTGTTTGGCGAGGGAGCGGCGGTGGCGGCGGTGGCGAGGCGACGAGCGGCGACCGGGGGTGGACATATGTGTATCGCGAGAAAAGAAATCGCGGGGTGAGTTACCAAACGAAATGGCCCCCCGGGCGCACTCCGGTGCCGCAACCATGCTCGCACCACCATACATGCGTTGCAGGAGCTGCTCTTGCCCACCAAGAGAGCACGACAATCCTTATCAGCTGGTCGGCCGCCATCGGGCCTCCCGGCCTGCTGCGGCGGCGCGGCCGGTTGAGGCCGGGCTCGGCCCGGCCCGCGACGGCTGGCCGCCGACGAGCGCGCTCTCCGCGCTGCTCGTCAACACGTCAAGCGGATGGCGGCGGTGGCGATTGCGGCGACAAAAGTTCAGTCGTAGGGAGGATCCCTACAGCGCTCAGGCGCCTGTCGTCTTTCGTCTTTTGTCGCATTTCGCACACGCGCGCGCCGCGCGACCCGCGTCGCTCCGCGAGGGCATGAGCCTTCCGCGATATTCGATCCCGCAGCCAAAAGCTGCTCGCTCGAACCGCGGCCGACTCTACCATCGCGGCTGCAGCTGTCGAGCTCTCCAGAAAACTGGTGCCTCATATGCTGCCTCCCTGCGGATGCTGCCGGCGAGCCTGGCGGTCCGCTGTACTACAAGGATGTGCTGACTCGATTCTACCTCGAATTCTTCTACCCCCTCGACTCGGAACGCGAATGTGACAGGACCATCGGATCCTTCAGCCACCAAAGCGAGATCACCCGAGAGCAGCTGAGCCTGCCTCTGGCCTCGCCTCCCTCTCCTTCAGGCATTCGTGGCATCCTATGGGTCGTCCAGAGTATCGACCTCTGGCTTGTCAGCCGCCCCACCGAGGGCACCATGAAGTACAGCGATCGCCACCTCGCTGGCCTCTCCGCAGGCCCCCCTGACCGCGTCGAACTCATCGGCGCGGGCTCTCTCGGCTACGGGACCGGCCCCAGCTTCGGCTGAGGGCGAACAAGCTGCCGAGCCCAAATCACTGTGAGAGTCGTGATTTCTTGTTGGTTTTCTAAAATCTCTCTCTCTCTCTCTGCCCACCCCCGGCCGCCATGGTGCATGGACGAGCTGTCCTCGTGTGGGCGGCGACCGAAGCGCCCTCGACTGGGGTTGTCAGCAGGGAGGAGAGGGGGTGGGCCTCCCAGGGCCCAGGCGATACCCTGATACCCTTGAGCACTTGAGCACTTGATAGGGTCGATTCCGCATGGTACGGGACCCCTCGATCGTCTCGCCCTCCCTCACTGGTGGCAGACTGGTGTGTTCATGATACCCTCCCTAATTTCGATGGAATCAACTCTACCCATTAGGCGAAACCCCCGAATCGAGGTTCGATTAAAGAAAGAAAGAAAACAGACAGCCCAAGGGAGGGATGGGAGGACGGCACGCCGCCACCACACAGGGATTTTAAGGAGAGGGGTGTGATGCGCTAGCCGTCGCCCACCCTTGGGCGTCCGCCTCTTCCTATCTCTCTTCGCAGTCTCTCGCCGATTCTCGCTGCAACCTTCATGCCACCCCGCGGTCGTCCCACTCTCGTCGTTCTCTCTCTTGTCGCTTCTTCCTCTGTCGCGTCGCTCTCCTCTGCCACCTCGTCCTGCGACGGTGCCGCCGCCTGCCGCTCCCTTGCTCTCGCTGCTCGGCGCAGCTCTGTCCTGCTCGCGGCATATTTTGGCCCCTCGAGTTTATCGAGCTTCGATTCTATCGAGGTTGATTCATCGTACTTGGAGCACTTAAACCCTCGCGGACTGGATTTCTTTCTCGCGCGTGCGCCAGTAGATGTCAGTCCCACCCCCGCGCGACGCTCCGCGTGACGCTCCGCGCGACGCTCCCCGGTACGACGCGGGAAGGAGACGCTCTCCGCCGCGGCAAGGAGGCGGCGGGCCGGCGCCGGTGTCTAGGCCGTGGCCGCGCGATGAGCGCTGGGGTGGGCCTGCGGCGCCTCAGAGGCGGGTGCCCGAGGACGACCGGGTCGCTCGCGGCCGCGGTCCTCCGAACGGCCGGCCGTGGTACGGCGAGCGGGACGAGAGGCCCGACCGGCGCTACGACGAGCGCTTTGACGAGGGCAGGCGGGAGCGGGAGCGGCGGTACGACGAGCGCGGCGCGCCCGGCCGACCGCCGCCGCCTGGGCCTCGCGTATCCGGTCCGTACGGAGGACCGGCGCATGCCGCGGAGGACGCGGCGCGGCACAGCCGCTCCTCTCACCCGCCGAGCGGCAGGGAGGAGCGGCCAGCGGGCCGCACGGGCGACCCCAGCCGCACGAGGTACTTGAATGAGAATCGTTTCAATCTCAACTCGTTTCTCCTCAAATAGGCGACCCCGGCCGCACGACGGCTGCGCTGCCGCGCCACGTCGACCTTGACTTTGGTACCGCGGCTGGCCGCGGGGCGGCGCCGACACCGCGGCGCGAGAATGGGGAGCCTCGCGCCGATTTTCGCTCTGTGATTGCAAAGGGGGCGCGAGAGCGCGCTGCGTCGCCCGCGGCGGCGCCCGCGGCGGCGGCGGCGGCGGCGGCGGCGGCGGCGGCGGCGGCGGCGAGGCCGGCGGAGCGTGCGAGGGGCGGCGACGCGACCGATCTGCTCAGCCGCGCGCAGCACGAGTACCGGAGGCGCCTCTCCGACGCGACGACACTCGACGCGCTGCCTCTGGCGCGGCTGAGCGAGCTACACGCAGCGCACCTCGCGATGCTGTCTGCGCTGCAGGACGCAGAGTGGAGGAGGTGCCAACCCGAGGGCGGCGGCTCGCCCTCGCGCGACTCGGACGAGGCCGACCACACTCCCCTCGCCGAGTGACCAGCGTCGGCGCACGCAAACTTTGCCGGACACGGGCTGCCGAGGCACAGGCAGATCACGCGCCCGGAGGTAGCGGAGCAGGCCAGGGGTACACAGTCCTGGTGGAGCGATCTGTCGCGCGCCCCCGCCGTACTGATGCACTCGACAGATTCGATTATACGTGAGATACACTCTCTCCAACACAATACACATGCGCATTCGTCTTCATATGTTTAACCGCGTATTAGAGAGACGGTCCCGCTGTAAGTCTGGCGTGCACTGGCAGGAGCCATACTCGCATAGGGGACGCGTGCTAGCTGACTGTAGCCAGCTTCCCGGCCTCCGGCGTCGACACCGGGAGCGGCTCCCGGACCATCGATGACTCGGTGGAGAGCTCTCCCGCACCGTTTTTTTGAGCGTTTAAGTAATAAGACCGTTTAAGCACGCCTTAAGGAATCGGGCGGCCCAGCAGCTCTTAAAACCGGCCGCCTAGGCCGGTTTTAAGCCGTTTAACCCGCAGGCGCCCCAGGGCCCACCACCTTTTAAGCTCCCCTCTAAGTGCTAAGACCGCCCCGTGACCCGAGATCCCGAGTCCCGACGGCGACGCCTCTGGACACGAGCGACTGGAGAGGAGGCCCTTGCGCCTGGTTCGCTGGTCCACCGCTGGGGACGGAAAGGTGCGCGAAACGAGGTCGAGCCCCCCGACCCCACGCAGCCAGTCGTGCAAGCCACGAGACACCACACGCCCTCACCGCACACCACCGCTCTCAGCTCTCATCGCTCGTCAGACGTCACCGAAATTCCGACAGGCTGAGTTCAATCGCCCGTCGCCGCCGTGCGCGGTAAACCACACGGAGAGCACGAAACGCTCGCCGCTCCGCACTGGCCGCACCTGATGAAGGTTGTCGAACCCAGACGGGAAGGCTAGCAGGCGCCCCTACCAGATGAGTGGAGAGTCATGGGGCAACTGGACGCGTCAGCGCCTTGTCCTCGCCGTGTATCTCGGATGAATCTCGGCAGCCGGAGGTGTCTCGGAGGTGTCTCGGAGGTGTCGGCCACCGCTTGCGGCTCGAGTAGCAAGTCACAGTCGGGGTCGTTGAAGGCGAAGTGGCCGCCGGCAAAGTCGGCACCCAAGGTGGTGAGGTAGAGCAGGGCCGAGACGTCGTACGCGCTCTGGTTCGCCTTGTCCACGTGCGGCGCGAAGGTCCCGTGAGCCGGATCGACGCGCCAGTCAAAGCTCCGGAGGTGGGCCGTCTCCTCCGCTGTGGCCGCGCCGGCGCTGTGCGCACCGGCGCCCGAGATCCAGCTGATCAAGCTGTTGACGGGCTCCACCGCTCCGTAGCGAGCGCGCACCCGCTCGCGCACACGCGCCCGCAGCTCGGCAAACAGCGCGAAGCCGTCATCGCCGAGCAGCGGCTGCGCCTCTTCGATGTCTGGCGGAAAGAGCCTACCGTCGCCGTCCGAGTCGGAGCAGATTAGCATCGCACGCCTCGCGGCGGCCACCGCGCGCCGGCACTCCTCTGCATTGGCAACGTCATCCTCGAGGCTGCGCCCATGGCGGGCCTCGAAGCCGACCCTCGCAGGCCTGCCGTCGGGAAGCCGCGCAATACACTCAAGCTGACGCCGCGCGAGGTCCTCTCCACTGGCGGAGGGCGCGACGGCGCAGAGTAGCCGATGTCGCGGCGGACTTGTTCCAAGCACGCCGCGCAACTGGATTCGGCTGGAGCGAGCCGTGCGAAAGCACATACGGGTATCGGAGGGCGGCGGCCGGCTGCCGCGAAGCGGCGTGGTTGCGTCAGCGTCCTGGTCGCCGATTATCGCTCGCGCAGCGGGAGTCCGCTGCAGCACTTGCCTGCCGAAAAGACTTTTCCGCCATTTGCCTGGGGACGGGACTGGCGACGGCTAGCGCATCACACTCCTCTCCTTAAAATCCCTGTGTGGTGGCGGCGTGCCGTTCTCCCATCCCTCCCTTGGCTTGTCTGTTTTCTTTCTTTCTTTCTTTTCGGGACTGGCGCGCACTGGCACTAACACAGGTACACCACCCGAAAAGAAAGCCAATTCCGGACTTGGGCCCTCGGGCCTGCGGGCGGCCTTCTCTCGAGGTCTCGAGATACAAAAAGCGGCCAACTAACGCCCGTTTTTCTTCTTCTCGTGATCCCGATTCCCGCCCGTCCGTCCGGAAACAGCTCCCGCAAACGCGAAGGGGCGACGGCCCGTGTGTGCGTCGGCTGCGGCGTTGAGCGCACATGCTGATCCCCTCTGCGGCAGGCTCGGCAAACCTGCGCCAGCGAGGAGCTGTCGCTTCCATCTTGCTTCTCTGCAGCCTCGTGACCATACTGCGACACGGCCGCGTCGCCGCGCCGAGAGTCATGGAGATGACAGAGTCGCAGTCGGCGATGGTCACACTGGCAGAGGCCGCGACAAAGGATGGTGCCACCAGGAACGTTATTGGGGCAGCGGGTTGGATCGCCAGCCAGGCTGAGGAGGAGGGAAAGCCGGCAGAGGAGGTGGCGGCGGTGTTTGAGACAGCTATTGACGCGGGCAAGGTTTTGATGGACAGAGCGAATGAGCTGTCGATGTTTTGGAAAGACAATAAGCTCCCCGTGGCGCAGGCGACCGCGGCGCGTGCCGCCGGCTCCGCGGTCATGGGATGCATGCCCCACGACGAAGCGGTGGAGGCGGGTCTCGCGATGGCCAAGTTGGCCGAGGACTTCTTCAACATGCAGCAGAAGTTTGAGAAGGACATGGACGGAACGGGGGCGGCCCGCTTCCGCTCTAGTGCGATGACGGCTATCGCCGACCAGGTTGGCATCGACGCCCTGCGTCACGGCGCCGACACGGCCACTGCGGCACAGGCCGCGAAGGTTGCCGCCCTCGCGATTGCTCTGGCACAGATCAATGGTTACGACGAGATGGCGGCTGGCAATGCTGCGGGCGAGGCGGCTTACAGTGGCAGGGCCTCAAATCACTCCACACTTCCAAACAAGGTTGCAAAGGAGGCGGGGCTCATGGCGTCGGCAGTGCTGGCGAAGTACAAGGACAGTATCCCCACGCCGGCTTGTACTTGCGCGAACTACGCGGCGGCGGAGGCGGGGAAGCAAGCCGCGAGGGCACTGGCAGCGGGAGCGCCGCTCAGCAACCAGACCAAGAAAAACATGGTCGGCGTTGCCCTCTCCACGGCCAATCTGGTCGACAACCAGCCCTGTTCGTTGGTAGAGGAGAAGACAGTGTGCCATTCGGCATATACGGTGGCCCTCAGGCTAGCGGTATCCTTCGGACCATACCCCATGGAGGCAGACGCCTCGAGCCACCTTGCAGAGATGGGGGCCGTGGCGGCCGAGACAGTCAAGGCTCTTGCGGACACTGCGCTCAGCCGTCCGAGCAAGGAGGCGGCAGGCATCGCCGCCGGCCTGGCCCGCGCGAAAAATGAGCCAGACGTCCAAGGCGAGGTGAACGCTGCGGCTGAACTCAAGGCGACCGAAATCAAGAACGAATGCGGTGGAACGGTGCAATCGCGAGGTGGCACGCTTGTGGAGCAGGCCAGCGCCTCAAAGTGCCTGGTGGACAACCCGATTGTCCTCGTCGGCCGAGCAGGGGACTATGCCAGCTGGCCCTGCGTAGTGCCTCACCTCTCCCTACCGTTTGGCCTTGGCCGCCGGTAAAAACGAGATATGTGACGCTTCTAGCCAGTCGCAGTCGTGCGACGTAGCGGGGGGGCACGTCTACGTTTACGAAACATAAGTAGTCCCGCGGCGAGGTGTGAATTTGGCCGCCCCAGGGTAGCCCCCTTCCCAATGGCTTGATTTTGCGGCGCGTCCCCACGGGAGCGTCCAAACTTTGGGCGCGAACCGTATCTCGCAACGAATCTCGCCGGCCTCACCGGCCCTCTTTGCTTCGGTCTCGACTTGAGTGCCGCTCGACTGGCCGATGAAGAGCGACCCGTACGACGCGCACTTGTCGTCCTCCCTCCTCGCCACATGACGGCCGCCCCCCGACACCAACAGTCGCGCTCCGCACGCCTTCGAGGTCAGCTGCGGCCGAGCGACGATCGGCTTGTCTCCGATCGCTGGGCGCGGTCACTCTCCGGCCATCACCCGCCTGCCGATCACCTGTCCGCCTCGCCGCGCGCGGGCCGCTCGCCTGCTCGCCACCGCCGCCGCGCGTCCCCGCGCCGCCACGCTTCCCTGCACCTGACCGCGCTCGAGCTGCGCAGGCAGACGGCGCGCTCTGACGGACAGAGCAGCGGCCGCCCAGGCGGTCGCTGCTCCGCCCCGTCCGAATCCGTCCGCCCGCGCGTGCTGCTGCCACCGCCGCCGCTCCACCCGGTGCCCGAGTGTCGTGAGAGTTGCATTGTGTATGTGTGTATGTGTCGTATGTGTGTGTGGACTTATGTCACACTTTGACGGCCTCTCTATCTATATGTACTATGATTAGTAGACCGGTACTCGGGTTTGGATGGTAGCGGGGGGGGGCCGCCGGAGGCTGGTTACTGATCAGACATTGTGCGATACAAAAAAGAGACAAATTATAGAGTAGCTTCTTGTACGTACTTGTAGGAAGATTTGAAATGTCTCCGCGTACGCACGTGTTTGAATATACCTGTCCTGTACCCAGATGCACGGCATGAAGCGAGTGCAGAAAGCCGCCGCGTGCGGCTATAGTTTATTCTTTTTGTTGAAGGAGCTCGCTCGGCTCATGGTTCGAGCTTGACTTCCACCATCTGAGCGACGAGGCAAGCTGCCGTTACGAACGACCCCGGGCGCAGCAGCAGGCATCGTCCCCGTCCCGGTGCTCGCACGAGGAGCTGGGGGGTCCGAAAACGTCCTTGGGGCAGTCGTTGTCGGTCTTGGGAAGGCTGTGCCGGGGCTGGCAGCATCAAGAGTGTCGGGAGGTTTGTATGTTGGAGGCGGTTGCATTGGGGGCAGCGAGGATGGTCGGCGTCTCATCTCACTGGCTTGCTCTTGGATCGGTGCCTTCTCCTTCTGCTCCTCTTGATCGGCGAGCTTTTTGAGCTCCATCTCCAGTTCCTCTTCGCTAATTTCGCGCGTGGCGGCGATGCCAACTTCGAGACAACCGGCGCCTTTGAGCAACCAGTCCAAGCATGGCACGGTGTGCTGGCACTCGTTGAGCGCGTTGAGGCTGCTGAGGAGGGAGATGGTGCCCGCCATAGCAAAAAGTCGTATCAGGAAGGTGCGGACGAATGGGACCCAGTTGTCATCCATCACCTATGATATGTGTCCGGGGCGCTCACGCACGCGTCATGGACGTGACGCAGCTAGCTTTCAGTCCTTCACCTCGTCAAAGTAAAAGATGACAAAGGTGGTGGCGAAGTTGAGCTGGCCCATACAAAAGTTGAAGTATTTGAGGCCGTTGCACATGGTCGTGAATATGAAGAGCGCGTCCACGATCATGTTGAGGTACAGGATGCCGCAGTGGATGGGGAAGGTCTCGAGCGTCCGTTCGTGCGCCTTGAGCACGGAGATGATGACCCAAAAGTCGGCGATGTTGTAGCAGACGTACGCCATCAGGTTCATGAGGAAGGTGCCCGATGCGGTGCCGAGGTTCAGGCAGCACAGGCACGGCAAGAGGACATTGATCGGCGGGAAGCACTCGCAGGCGCCGCCGATGATGGCAAACACCCCGCCAAAGATGGCCGCAATCGCAGCGAGGCCCAGAGAGCTGTTCCATCCCATGTGTACGAGCCTCTCGCCCTGAAAGGGTACCATTCCGCCTGCAGCGTCGCTGATCGTGTCCTGGAACATCTCGAGGTACATGTAGGGGACGACGAGCGAGATGATCCCGATGCCCAGGCCCATGTTTGTCCAGCTGACAAAGCGGGTGGTCAGCCACGGCGGCAAGCACTCGCCCGCCAGGAGCCCGCACGACGCGATGAGGGACTCGCGGCGCGCGACGACCGAGTGGATGCCATGGAGGATCAAGATGGCGCAGAAGAACGCGTAGAAGAAGAGGAGGTTGAGCTTGAGAGTCGCAACTGCCCAGTCGAGGCCGGAGTACGACATGCAGACGCCGGCGGCGAAGAAGGCCGAGTTGGCGAGGACCAGGAAGAGCAGCTTGAGCATCTGAGGAATTATCTCAAGCGCGATCATGCAAAAGACTATGTAACAGTTTATGCAGTAGAAGATGGTCAGGTTCCACTGTTCGTCCATGCTCACGTCGGCCAGCGTGGCGTAGCAAGCCCACCAGAAAATGAAAGCACAGCAGAACGCGAATATCCCCATGGTGAACTCCATCCCGCCATACTGGCAGAAGGGGAGCTGCGGCATGCGCGTCATCATCACGAGGCCGGACGTTAGCGCAAAAAGTGATCCAAGCATGACGAGTGCCCCTAGCCGGAAGGATCATAACGCTGTTAGCGAGGTGCTGCAAGACCATGAGAAAATTTCTACACCGCACGCACCCTCGATGATGGCAATCTTTGCCTTCTTGTCGGTCTCGGGCCCAAGCTTGAGCAAGCTGATCAA